TTCAGAGTTAGCTCACCTGAATTCTGAAGTCTTCTTTTTCAGACTTAGTTCACCCGAACTCTGTAGTCTGAACTCTGAAGTCTTTTTTTCAGACTTAGAAGTCCGAACTCTAATTTAATTGGGATTGATTTTATACTTCAGAGTTATTTCAAGAGTATAAGTCTGGAGAATCAATCTTCAGAGTTTTATTTTAGAGTTATTTCCAGAATACAAGTCTGAAGAATCATTCTTCAGAGTTAGCTCACCCGAACTTTGTACTCTTCTTTTCCAGATGGAACACCATGTAGAGCCTCTACATAGTGCATGTAGAGTTTCTGACTTTTGCCTATATAGAGCTCTAAAGTCTGAAGAGTTTACTTCAAAGTAATTTCAATAGTACAAGTCATGTAATAAACTTATCTACACTTTGAAGACAAGTCTTTAAGACTTAGACTTAGTCTTGTAAGCCAGATCCCCTCTAGTTAGTTTGGTTTCTAGATGTTTGCTTCTAGTTGTTTATTTGAACCATGGAAAAAAAATTCCAATCCATCCTAAAGAAACTAGAGAGGCTCTGGTTGATCTTCATGTTTAATTAGAGCATCTTTGGTTATAATTGGAACTCAAATTCTTTAAGTACTTAACATTTTTTGACTTAAAGGCTCAGGTTGACTAGAGGGGCTCTGGTTGACCAGAGGGCCTTTAGTTAGCCTTGCTTTTGGGTTGGCCTAGTTTTTGGTTGGTGAGTTTACAGAGGCTCTGGTCCTTAAAGACCACAGGAGCTCTGGTTGGTCTTGCTCTGTATGATGCAAACTATACAATGGGGTCTTTTTCAATTGGGTATTTGAATTACTCTGAACTCAAGGTCTTCAGCCTTCGTCTTCGGATTTGATACAAGCGCTCTTCTAAGTTTAAATTCAATTTACTGATATAGTTTGATTTCTAAATTCAAGTCTGAATAGTCATTTTTCAGACTTATACTTCAGAGTTATTTCAAGGGTACAAGTCTAAAGTCATTTTTCAAAGTTATAATTCAAAGTTATTTCAAGAGTATAAGTCTTAAGAGTCATTCTAAAGAGTAAGCTCACTCGAACTCTAAAGTCTGCTTTTTTAGACTAAGCTCACCCGAACTCTGGAGTCTGAACTCTGAAGTCTTTTTTTAGACTTAGAAAAAGAAGTCTGAACTCTGAAGTATTCTACAAGTCTGAAGAGTCATTTTTCAAAGTTTTTTTTTTTGAAAGGATCATTTTTCAAAGTTAGCTCACCCGAATTCTGAAGTCTTTTTTTATACTTAAAAGTCTGAACTCTGATTTAGTGAGATTGATTTTATACTTCAGAGTTATTTCCAAAGTACAAGTATGAAGAGTCATTCTTCAGAGTTAGCTTACCCGAACTTTGAAATCTTCTTTTCCATATGGAACACCATGCAGAGCTTTTGCATATTGCATGCAGAGCCTCTGTGTAGTGCATGCAGAGCCTCTACGTAGTGCATGCAGAGCTTCTAGCTTGCCTATACAGAGCTCTAAAGTCTGAAGAGGGTTACTTCAGAGTTATTTCAAGATTACAAGTCTGAAGTCATTCCTCAAAATTATACTTCAGAGTTATTTCAAGAGTATAAGTCTGAATAATCATTCTAAATTACTTCTAAGTTTAAATTTAATTTACTGATATAGTTTCATTTC